GCCGACCAGAAAAGTTGTGTGCATGAAATATATGAATGCATGATACATATGCAATGCATGAAATGCATTATATGTTAGTCACTTTCCAAGGTATTCCTGAATTTTGTCACCCGTCTGGACTAACAAGCAACAAGATAAAGAGAGAATAACCAAGAGACAACACAACTGGAAAATAGTGATTTTCATTCATATAAAAGCTTCAAATCAAATTGAGTTCATACAATGAAAATATAACCATCTTGCATTATAACAAGTAATAACCCCAACAAACAAGCCAGGTGGTAGTTACAAGAAAAAAAAACAAATTAGCATATGAATGGACTATTTGGAAGATCTAGAGCTCCCCACTTGAGCCATGAGCTTCACAATTTCCTTCATGGCCTGGGCTAGATGAGCATCTTTGTCAAAGAATTGTTTCTCCATACTTTTGACCTTGGCTTCATATCTTTTCTCCATGTCAGCTTTGGATGCCCTAAGGATATTACAATCAGAGCATCTTCTGTGATCTCTAGAAGAAGTAGCATTATCATTAACTCTGGCTCTCTTCTTGGTCTTTCTGCTCACGGGCATCTCTTCACCAACCAACTCGAGCTTACGAGCTAATTCCAACTTCTCCGCTCTAGCTTCATAAAGCTTCATGTTTAACTCGCGGTCCTTCTGACGGAGTTCTATGTTTTCTACCTGAACTTACTCATACTCTTCAGTAGGCACGGTCTCAGACAAAACAAGGGGTGGTTGCTCATACAACAGATCTTCCCTTCGAAAAGGAAAAAGAATGGTTCCCGATCTCTTCTTGACCCACTCGACATAAGGAGCTCTGGCCACAACAATCTTTTTCCCTATAGAACTTTTGTTTCTTCGATGGGCCTTCTTCCAGGCATTTTCTATCCTCATCAACAACCCAGGATCATCTCCTTTTGCAAAGTATGCAATTTTCGCAATCTCAGTCTCTTCAGGTCGGTCACTCATGACGTGTCCCAATTGTCAGAAGGTCAAAACAGGATTGTAATTGATGCAACCTTGTGTTCCCATGAGAGGAACATTGAGAAATTCCCCACAGCTGGTAATGATGCTATGACCCTCACCTAAGACATAATACTATATGATATCGAAAGAAGTGAGTGCCATAAGTCTCTTCGACCACGTGAGAGAATCTTTGATGTCCATAAATGGTCCTTTCACCGAAAGGTGCATCATGAACCACTTATACAACATAGGTGTGCAGACATTAACAAATCCTTTCTTACCATGCCTCGAATGGATGATATAATACGTATTTGCTAGCAAAGTCGGTATGGGATTCTTGTTCATAAAGACGCATATAGCAGATAGGTCCATAAATTCTTTCTTGTTTAGAAAAAGAATTAGACCATAAACCATGACAGCTAGTTGCGCGTTGAAAGCAACTCAATTTTTCTTTTTCGGCCGACTCTTGAGCTTTCCCTTCCAAGGATGCTAAATCAAAACCGTAAATACCATCATTTGAATTCCATGTTCTTTTTTTTTTTTTTGTAATCCATACATCAATTTTAACGTTTTTCTTTCTTGCACTCATCTTACAATGACCCAACTCAATTTTATTTAATTATTTGTACTGGTGCAATGCGTCGATGAAAAAGGTAAATAGTGGAAGTATATGGATTACACTAAAACTTAAAAAGATTTATTTTTATTAATACTAATAGAGAATATATCAAAAAAAATGTAATTGATACTCTATCGTCTCATAATAAATATCACATTTGAGTTTTGCGCGGTTTATAATAAAATAATTAAATATGTTGATTTTAATGATAAAATTAATAATATTTATTAAAATATTCTTACTTTATTAGTTAGTAGAGTAGTTAAAAAGCGTAAAAGCTAATAAATAAGAGTATAGTAACGGAAAAAAAAAATAATAAAAGTTGTATTGATATTCTAAAGAAACATTTATTTTGAGACAGAAAAAATACAAATGAGACACTTATTATGAGACCGAGTTCTTGAGTCATGACAATCTTGAATTATGTGTTGCTTTAGTTGTTTCATCAATCTTTCTCTCATTCAGGTACCACCTTTATCCTTATTTACTGCTTGTCGATTTCCCTTTTCTAGTTTTAGTCATGGCTAATGTGAGAGACGGCCCTACAACTATAAATGTTCTAGACAAACCATTATTTATCACCATTCATCCTACTGCTAATTAACCATGAACAGATGTGAGATTGAGGCAATATGCATTAACTATAAGATCCACAGCACAAAGACAATAAAACAACCTTTTAAAATCTTCAACAAACCTTGAAAACCAGACTATGAAGCAAACGCTGGAGAAATGCCGAGTAGTGGAGCTAAGCATGTTCTCAAGGATGCTAATTGCATTGCCAAGCCATGTGAAATTCTTGCAATTGTTGGGCCAGGTGGAGCAGGAAAATCATCACTGCTTGAGATTCTTGCTGGTAGAGTTAATCCAGAAATGGAGGTTCTATCTTGGTGAACCAGGAGCATGTAGATAAATCTCAGTTCAGAAAAATTTCAGGGTATGTTTCACAAAAGGATACCCTTTTCCCCTTACTTACAGTTGAAGAAACCATGATGTTTAGTGCAAAATTAAGGCTAAATCTTCCTCATGAAAAACTATGCTCCAAGGTTAAGTCACTGATTCAAGAGCTTGGTCTTCGTCATGTTGCTAGGACTAGAGTAGGAGACGGAGATGACAGAATCCGCGGAATATCTGGTGGTGAGAGGCGCCGAGTTTCCATTGGTGTTGAAGTCATACATGATCCGAAAGTGTTGATTCTTGATGAAGCAACTTCGGGTCTTGACAGTACCTCAGCTTTGCAAATAATTGATATGCTGAAAGTCATGGCTGAATCTAAGGGAAGAACTATAATACTAAAGTATTCATCAACCTGGGTTCAGGATAGTGAAGTTGTTCAATTCAATACTGTTGTTAGACAATGGCAGTGTGTTGCATCATGGGAGTGTGGATTTGTTGGATGTGAATCTGAGGTTGATGGGTTTAGAGCTTCCTCTTCATGTTAATGTTGTTGAGTTTTCTATTGAATCCATTGAGACTATTCAGCAACAACAAAAAAGTCAACAAGTTTAGATCGAACAAGTTCAGATTGAAGCGCCGAAACGAGTACTCGGGTCAATGATACTAAAGAAAGGCGATGATCAAAAGGTGAAAATAGAAGTGGTAAGTTAACTCTATTGCAGCTATTTCAACAATCCAAGGTATTTGACATTGAAACCATCAATGTAGGAATGGATTTCACTTGTGATTATGCTAATTCTAGATTGAGAGAAACTATGATTCTTGCTCATAGGTTCTCCAAAAACATTCTACGTACAAATGAGCTCTTTGCATTTAAGAGAGTTCAGATGCTGATTTCGGGTCTGGTTTTAGGCTCCATATTTGGTAATCTCAAAGATGGTTTAGTGGGAGCAGAACAGAGAGTTGGTTTATTTGCTTTCATACTAACGTTTTTGTTATCAAGCACCATTGATGCTCTACCGATTTTTCTTCAAGAAAGGGAGATTCTAATGAAGGAGACATCAAGTGGAAGCTACAGAGTTTCATCCTATGCTTTAGCCAATGGCCTAGTTTACTTGCCATTTCTACTCATACTAGCCATTTTATTCGCAGTGCCACTGTACTGGATTATCGGTCTCAACCAAAACTTCACAGCGCTTTTGCACTTTCTGTTGCTAATATGGCTGATTCTGTATACTGTGAATTCAGTTGTGGTATGTTTCAGTGCTCTGGTGCCTAATTTCATTGTTGGAAATTCGGTAATTGCCGGTATCATTGGTTCGTCTTTTTTGTTCTCTGGCTACTTCATATACAATCATGAAATTCCAAAGTACTGGATTTTCATGCATAATTTATCTCTATTTAAGTACCCCTTTGAAGGGTTTCTAATAAATGAGTTCTCCAACTCAAAGAAATGCTTAGAGTACATGTTTGGGGCATGTGTGATGAAAGGAGAGGATATACTTAAAGAAGAAGGGTATGGAGGAGAGAGTCGTAGATGGAAGAAGGGTATTATCCACAAATGACACAGATTAGTCCATAAAAATCTCACCATAGTCAATCATAACTCAGTTAGTTACACAAAACCTACCATACAATGTTAAGCCTAATGCTACTTGTAGCAACTAGAGTTAGTTATTCTCAATAACTAACTCTCAACTGGATCATAACTACCTAGTAGAAATTAGTTACATTAGTTACAATCAACTTGAATTGATAGTTACACCAATAGTGAGGTTAGCTTGTCACACAAGCAACTTCATTAATATCAACTATCCTTTATGCTCAACAAGAAATAAAACTTTAGCAAGTATATTGTTATTTTTCTGTGAAATGGCAACAGTTGCAAGAAAACACATTAAATGGAAGCTTTGACTAGTGGCATCAAACGAAGCATATGCTTAAATTTCCAGTAATTTTTGTACTAGTATATAGTATTTGTGATTTACACGAAGAAGCTCGGACTACTCATCAATTGAAAAAACCACTCCATTGTCCTTAAAGTTGTGTGTGGTATGATCAATGACCAGTACACAGAACAAAAAGTCATATATAAACCACAAAACATCCACTAAATCATTAAAAAAAACAAAATAAAAATATGAAGATCTTAAATATGTCCTATTATAAAGAACATTACAAATGAATTCAGGTGCATGTTGTAACACTCCATTCTCCTAACTTTCCCATACACACCCACCATTTCATTCACCACATGAAGATGATTTCTAAAACCCACTTGCAAAACATGACAATGAACAATTTTGCAAAGACTAAGCACACCAAGATAAGAACATGACTTAATTATCAAGGGGAATATGAACCCATCAGGTAAAAATCCAAACTTTCGCATTTGAACATAAAGTTGAATAGCATTTTTATAGTACCATATGAAAACACAGAATAAGAACCAAGAAATTTACAAAACAATAGTTTTCCTGAGTTTTCTTTTTGGAAAAAATAAGACATCTAAGCAAACTCAGTCCACGTTTAAGACCTTTGGAACTTTAATGTAAGGCTCCTCATAGCTCGGAAGCGAAGCAATGATAACATCCCTACAAAGAATACACCAATCTATCAGGCCCTATTACTTCATATTCAATACACCAATTTATCTATAAAGAATAAACAACTAACCGTTGATCAAATGTTTCAGGAGTATTGTCACGCAAATTGTTTTCAGTATCTGCAGATAAGCAAAGCCAATAAGCAACAATGCTTTTTCATCTAAACATGCAAACTGAAGTTAGCATATTGGTTATAATAGCACCTGCTCTAATTGAAGGCTCAATGCTTTCAAGATCAACACCCTGCAACTGTCCAAACCTGCCACACAAGTAAGTTTTGGTTCCTTAGAAACTAAATGTTAAGCCTCATAGTGAGGGTTTTAAAAAACTGTCCACGACAGAAATCAGTGTCACGACACCTGTAACGAACAAAATTGCGAAAGCCTTAACGCGGCCATTTTTTAAAACCCTACTCATAATATCAGTCAAATAACCAATAAAGGGGTTTTCGATTCATTTACCAGCCAATCACCTGCTGAATTTTTGGACCAAATTCTTCAACCTAAAACAAGATAAATTACTATTAACATTTGAAATTAAAAAAAAATATATATATATATATAATTTGAAAGAAAAAAAAAAAAGAATTACCTGAGTTGGTGTAAGAGAGATATGAGCAATTTTTGCCAAATGAGACACATCTGGAGGTTCAAGAGAGGAACAATTTGTCTTTGAAGACAACCTACGAAACTGTAACAACTTGTGTTGGATTTTCAATTTCGATTTCGAGAATGTTAATGATAATATTGGTGTTCCTCTTAGGAACACTTTGCAACAGCTCATCTTACTTGAGTTCTGCAAAACCCAATCTCAAAACTCTCGAAAGTTTGGTTTAAGGATTGAAAGTTTCTGTTTTTGCAAGTTAGTCCCCGAAAAATTGAATATTCTATTATAAGTCTTCCTATAAATATGTTAATTTTTGGGTCAATCTGAAAACCAAACGCAGAAACTTGATCTTCGTGTCGCGGCAGAGATCCAAAAGATTCGAACTTCCTCCCGGTCAAGAGGTAATCAAAATCGCCGATCAATCAATTTTGTTCTTTTTTTATCCATATTCATAATCAAATTAACGTGTTTTCATCATTGTTTTTGTTTGATTTTTGATGAATTATGGTGTGTGAATTGCAGAATGTTGATAAATTGGAGAAAGTTGTAAAAGATGGGAATTATTATGGAGCTCAACAGATGTATAAATCCATCAGTGCCTGGTTCAAACAATTTCAAGTTTATTTTATCATTGTTATGCTTTTAGTGAGCTTTTTGGGTAGGGTCAGCCTCTTAACTTTCTTATTCCTTGTTATTTGGTTCAATTTTGCAAAGTTTTGTCGATGAATGCCAAAAAAAATTGATCTTATTTTTTATGCTAAAACTCGGTTCAACATTATGCATTCATTTTGTATTTTTGGTGTAGTTTTAGGAAGGTTCACTGATATGCTTTTCAAATATTGTAGTGTTATCCGGGGGAAGATGATTTGGCCATTGCTCGGGCTGTGTTAAGGTTAAATCGTAAAAGCATTTGAGAGCATAATTCCATGCATGTTTGCTTGATATATTGGACATGTAATTAATTCCATGTTATTTCAACAATGTTTCGAACTGAGTAATTGCGGATTTCTTGCATGATAGCTATTTATCTTTACGTAATTTGAAGGATGCAAACATACTAGTGGATGCGATAAAGAAGCAAACTCAAGCTTCTGAGGTTGAGTTTCCAAAGACCGACTTGATGCAATTCATCAATTTTCTTTTGCAAACGATGGAAAGATATTGTTTTCCTCTTTTTAATATGTTGAGAGCCAACTTCAAGTCATGTATTGAGAGGGAACCCGCCTTCAATGAGGTCAACTAACTTACAATTCGATGTCGTTTGCTTCTATGAAAAGTGTGACCATCTTGTGTTATTATTATTATCTGATGATTATTTTTCTCCGGGCTTGAAATAAAAAGTTCGACAAATGTTCTGCATTTGACATGCAAACTGTGATTTAGTTGCTAGACGATATTGCGGAGAAGTTTTATGGCCTACAGAGAAGGAACCCTATGGGAATGTTTGGGGATATATTCAAGGTAAGAAGACTATTCATAATTTTCAATAGTTTACTTCTGAATGCACAAAAAGCTTGTGATTGTGATTAATTAAGATACAATGATATTCTTATTGTGCAGATGATGGGAGCTAAATAGTGACATTCAGAGATGAGATTCTACTGATAGAACAACAATTTCAGCAGAAGATTTTTCCAATTATTTAATTATAGCACTTTTTTTTTCAATGATAGAGCAAATTCATGTCAGCAAACAAAATCCTTGTGTAATTTATTGATAAAGTTTATTTTGATGAATGTTATATGATTTGTAAAATATAGTTTCACAATTTTGATAAGAACTACCTGTTTCTAAAGTTAAAGTCAGTAAAAAAATCAATCGTAAAAATGTGAGTAAATGTGAGTTATTGTTCAGAGCATATATTAAGTTTCATGTGAGATGCCTTATATATAAAAAATAGTTATGGACGTTCCACTACTTCAACATGGAATGCGGGAGGTCGTTCGATAACATTTGATGATAGGCAATTGCCAAAGTGGTGAATCTAGTGTTGAACTTCAGTATAGGGTGGTGTTGTACCCTAAAATTTGTCCTCTCCAATTTCTCAAAGATTCTCTCACAAAATCTCTATTGTTCAAAATTGCATAGGGTTTGATCAGCTCAAGATACTTCCTCATCACTCATGACTCAAAACTAGAGTTTGAATTTGCACAAGTACAATTGGACTTTTAATGCCCCATATAGTTCTCATGAATCATATTGGACTCTCAAAGCAGATCGAAAGGAGTGGTTGCAGATAACAGTTCGAATTTAAAATCTGGTTCAGGCTATTCCTTCGAGCAAGCTTGGTTCATAAGTTTCGATTGAGCATTTGACTTCCTTCAGCAAGCTTCGTTCATAAGCTTTGATTAAGCAACGATTTCCTGCAGGCTTGCTTCGATTCAGAAGGCAATGGCCTCCTACATGCTTGCTTCGATTCATAAGGCAATGGCCTCCTTTATTGCTTGCTTCGATTCAGAAAGCAATGGCCTCCTGCAGGCTTGCTTCGACTCAGAAGACAATGACCTCCTGCAGGTTTGCTTCAATTCAGAAGGCAATGGCCTCCTGCAGGCTTGCTTCGATTCAGAAGGCAATGGCCTCCTACATGCTTGCTTCAATTCAGAAGGCAGTGGCCTCCTTCATTGCTTGCTTCGATTCAGAAGGCAATGGCCTCCTACAGGCTTGCTTCGATTCAGAAGGCAATGGCCTCCTGCAGGCTTGCTTCGATTCAGAAGGCAATGTCCTCCTACAGGTTTGCTTTGATTCATAAGGTAATGGTCTCCTACAGGTTTGCTTCGATTCAGAAGGCAATGGCCTCTTTCATTATTTTCTTCGATTCAAAAGGCAATGGCCTCCTGCGGGTTTGCTTCGATTCAGAAGGCAATGGCCTTCTGCAGGCTTGCTTCGATTCATAAGGCAATGGCCTCCTACAGGTTTGCTTCGATTCAGAAGGCAATGACCTCCTTCATTGCTTGCTTCGATTCAGAAAGAAGTGGCCTCCTACATGTTTGCTTCGATTCACAAAGCAGCGGCCTCCTTCATGCTTGCTTCGATTCCACCTTTAAACCCTTTAACACACATAGTTGCTACACCATGAATTACATTTGGTGGCTCATTCGAAGAACATGCAATTGTTGGAGACAATTAGTTTTGTCTGCTTTTGAGTTTGGTCGAAGGTTGGATCTATGTGGCCAAAATGAAAAGACAGAGTATTCGATTCAAGGCATCAAATTGAAGACATAATCCATAGGCCATGCTACATGATCTTGCTTTGCGGGCCTCGAGCTTGTGTTTCACTCTGTTGTACCCCAAAACTTGTCCTCTCTTTTCTTAAGACATTTTCTCACAAGGATTTTCAAAAGTCCAAATTTACAAGTGCAATTGGATTTTTGGCTTTCAGGCATCAAATCGAAGAAGAGCAAATTTACCTTGATTCATAAGCTTTGATTGGGCATCTAAAATCCTTTGAGCAAGCTTTATTTCACAATCTTTGATTGAACATTTGACCTCATTCGATGCAGGCCTGCCTGATTCACAAGCTCCGATTAGGCGTTGGACCCCCTTCGATGAAGTTTAATTCACAAAGCTTCGACTGAGCATTGACTGCTTCAGGCTTACCTTAGATTCACAGGGCAAGAATTTATTACATGTCTGCTTCGATTCACAAAGCAGTAGTCTCTTGCAGGCAAACTTCGATTGAGCATTGGCCTTTTACGTGTCTGCTTTGATCCACAAGACAAGTGTCTCCTCTGTGCTTGTCTTCAGCGCACAAGGCAAAGACTTCATCTTCATGTTTGCCTTCGATTCACAAGGCAAGAGCTTCTTTCATGTGTGCTTCGACCCACAAGGGAATGACTTCATCTGTGCGCGTCTTCAGCGCACAAGGCAAAAGGCCCATTCAACTTGCCTTTGACCCACAAGGCAAAAGTCTCCTTCAAATTGCCTTCGACCCACAAGGCAAAAGGCCCCTTCAACTTGCCTTCGATCCACAAGGAAAATGTCTCTTCATGCTTGCCTTCAATCCACAAGGAAAAGGCCCCTCCAACTTACCTTCGACCCACAAGGCAAAAGGCCCCCTCAACTTTCCTTCGATCCACAAGGAAAAAGGCCCCTTTAACTTGCCTTTGATTCACTAGACAAATACTTCCTACATGCCTGTTCGATTCACAAAGCATTAGTTTCCTACATGCTAAGCTTCGATTGAGCATTAGCCTCTTACGTGTCTGCTTTGATCCACAAGACAAGTGCCTCCTATGTGCTTGCCTTCAATGCACAAGGCAAAGACTTCCTCTTTATGATTGGCTTCGATTCACAAGGCAAGAACTTCTTTCATGTGTGCTTCGACCAACAAGGAAATGACTCCCTCTGTGCTTGCCTTCAATGCGCAAGGCAATGGCTTCCCTTCATGCTAGTGCCCATAAAGCAGTGGCTTCTTTCATACGTGCTTCGATTCATTAAGCAGTTGGCTTCCCTAATGCTAGCTTTGACTCCACCTCTAAACCCTTCAACACATAGTTTTCCACACTTTTATACACAAGATGGTCCCTTCGAAGAAACTTTCTAAAGGTCCATTTGAAGAAACATACAAATGGTGTCTTTGAAGGACCTACAATTGGTCTATTCGAAGGACACATAATTATGGGAAATCAATTTGTTTTACGATGAGTCTTGGTCCAAGATGCTTGCTGACCAAAATCCTACATACTGCCAAGCCCAAGCCTCCTGCATAATTACATTTAAAGGAGGTAACAAAAGAAGCTTTGACTGGCCAGAAAGGAGTTTTCAATTGGGCTAGTTGGAAAGTTTTAGATCAAGCTACTAAGACAGATAATGGTTCAATCAAAGAAGCCATAATAATGAGGCCTGGAGCCATTCGAAGGAAGCAACTCAGGGCCAATCGAAGAACAAGGCTTGAGGGCATTCGAATGAGTCAGGGAGTGAAACATGTCCCAGTTCATCCCAAGACCCAAAAGGGTAGGAATCCATCAAAAATGGCAATCCTTTAATTTGTCTGATTTTACCTTCAAAGCTTGGTTAATGGTTGTCCCTTGCCATTTCCATTCCCCTTTACACCCCTATAAATACAGGCCTAAGGACACATTGCCAAAGGACGAAAAAAGAGATAAGAAACACATTGCCAAATGAAAGTATTTTTTGCCATACACTGCATCAGACAGAAACATTCTTTCCCATACACGCATAAGCCAGACGAAAACCTTACATCCAGAAGTCCATACTAGCCCTTAAGAAAGCATCTCCACGCCCAAAGCCATAGAGATTCACGCGTCTTCGATCAGTAAGGGTTTGCAAAACCAAAATTGCACCTTCATACCATTTAAATACATATTGCGCATATATTCTTGTTACTAATGATACTTGTGTTTGAATGAATGTATTGCATGCTAGCTAAAGTGCAAGGATGAGATCGTGCCATTGTTAGGGCACGATATAAGTTTTACTTCGAATCTCATGACTTACGGTGTTTCAGGTCAAACAAACCCAGATTCGGACTCAGAGGGTTTGAATTAGGGAGAGGTTCAAATTAGGGGGGGTAAGGTCCCCCTGGATATTTAGCGTTTGTTTATGTTGCAGGAAAACATTTTTCCCAACAGAATATTGTTTGGACCTTCGAAGCAACCAAGCTTCAAACTGGGTGATACATGAACCTCTTGCCAATTGTACTCATATTCGAATTAGGAGGGAAATCGAATTGAGGGGAAGGACCTAGGTTCAACACCCAGGTCATGCGTCTTATTTTTCTAACGTTTCATTTGCAGATTCAATGTTGGCGTGTCCCAGGCGTGCATCGGACATCCTTCGATCTTCACCATGGGATCCCAACGCATCCAGATCCAATATACTCAGACGTGCAGCTCATCATGCACTCTCAAGGAGTTCCCTTACTGGATCCAGTGCAACCTATGGGCTCCCTTTGACTTGGGCTTATGTTATTTTCAAGATCATACCACCCTTGTTTACTTTTGCTGCCTCCCCCTTTTCCTTTCTTTTATTTATTTGTTTTTATTGTTTTCTTTATGTCTATTTCATTATAAACATTAAAATAAAAAATCATTAAAAAAAACATTAGGCTTAGTTTCTTTTTTTTAGATAAAATTTTGTCAATTAATTATTTAATTACTTTAACATTTTTTTTCTTAAAAGTAAAATTAATTTAGACTTAGGTCTTAAATATTAAAATCAAACCACAAAAATACCAAAAATATTTTCTAATACTTAGGCTTTTTAGGATTTTCTTTCCAAGCAATCTCTTCTCATTTTTGTTTTCTATTTTTATTTTGTTATTTAAATTCTAGAAAGAATGTATAAGTCACTCATTTGATCTTGTAATAGTTAGTTTATCTTTTCGCGTTTGTTCCTAAATATTGTAACTGCTCATGGGGTGTAATAGCGTAGGATTTACTTTCTGCATTTTATAATTCATGTACATATTAACTGTTAGATGTATGGTAATAGGATTGCATGATAAGAATTAAAACCAACGCTAGCAAACTTAACACAAGACAAAAATAACTGAAAACAAACACACTTACACATGCGCACCTCTAGGATACTCCCACTTTGGTTGCCTTCGGAAAAAT